GGTGCAGGCTGCACTAGGTGTGGGGCAGGCAGCTCTGGCAGGGGCTCTGGTGCAGGCTGCACTAGGTGTGGGGTGCCCTGCTTGGGGCTGTCGTGCCTGTGGGCGCAGCGAGCGCCCAAGGAAACGCAAACTCCAAGCTCCGACGTTGCCAGGCCCCGATCCTGAAGGCTTCGCCCGAGTTCCCGCCCCGCGCTCTCCCCAGCTGCGACTTTGCTCTTATTTGGCGATTCCCCGAGCCGGTGGGAGGGAACGGGGCTCTGCTGGGAAGTGACTGCATCCCTGGGTGGGGCCAGCGCCGGAGGCACCGGAGGCGCCCAGCGGCCTCCAGGCCACGGGCACCCTGGACGCCCGGCCCCAGCCTGCCCCACGGATGGTCCCATGGGCTCTCCGGGGCCTGGGTGCCGTGTGGACCCACGGGCTGCTGTGCCTGGCAATGGGAGAGGACAGGGGACACAGCAGCCCGTGGGCATGGCTGGGAATGACTGGGCATGGCTGGGAATGGCTGGGGAATGCCCATCAGGGCCAGCCCTGGGCCGCCGCTTCCCAGCTCCATGGGAGCCCGCGGCAGCTGCCGGCGCCGCCCGGGAATGCATGTTCCCGGAGGCAGGTGTGAAGTGCGGCCCGGGGTGCCCAGGAGCTGTCAGAGCTCCTTAGCAGAGGATTGAGTGACGCCAGCGCCACCTCCTCCCCACGGATCAGCTCTCGGCTCTGGCGGGCACGCGCTCCGGCCGGGACAGGGACCCGGGAGCCGGGAGACTGGCAGAGCTGCTGGGTGCTGCGGGGGCACCCATGGGTGCTCGGGGAGCCGCAGAGCAGCAGCGCCTGACTCAGCAACAGGGGGCTGAGCAGGGTCCGGCCTCCAGCCCCTGGGGCTCCCAGGAGCAGCCTCTGCCCCCTGGCACTCACTGGTCACCCCGTGGTTCCCGAGTCACCCCGTGTCCCCTGGCCCTGCCCGTGCTGGGAACAGACCCCCGCAGCACCCGGAGGACCCACCGCCCCTGCAGCGGCCCTGGCCCCCCAGGCTCCCCGGGCTCCTCCGCCCCAGGAGAAGCCCCACGCGGGCTCCTTCCCACGCAGACAGGGCGCCCTGGCAGGCGACACGGTGGCTCCTGCTGGGTCCCTTTGCTCCTTGGCCACGGCGCCCTGTGCACGCTGCCTGCGGGGAGCTGCCTAGAGGGGCACCCCGTGCCCTGTGCCGGGGGCTCCTGCACCCTGTGCTGGGGGTTCCTGCACCCTATGCCGGGGTCTCCGTGCACCCTCCTGTGCCGGGGGCTCCTGCACCCTGTGCGGGGTCTCCGTGCACCCCGCTCAGGATGGGGATGACCATGCACCGCGCCGGGTGCCGCTGTGCAGGGAGCACCGTGCGGCCCGCGCAGGGCGGCGTGGCAGGGCCCGGTCCGGTCGGTCGGTGGCAGCAGCAGCAGCAGAGGGAGGAGGAGGAGGAGGAGGAGGAGGAGGAGGAGGAGCAGGAAGGGATGGAGGCAGGGCGGGCGGCGGGAGCGGCCGCTGCCTGAGCGCTTCCTGCCCAAGCCAGCGCGGATCCCACAAAGGGCTCGGCGGCGCGGCCTCCCCGTGGGGCCATGGCCGGCATCAGCTCCATCGACGCCGTCAAGAAGAAGATCCAGAGCCTGCAGCAGGTGGCCGATGAGGCCGAGGAGCGCGCCGAGCACCTGCAGCGCGAGGCCGATGCCGAGCGGCAGGCCCGCGAGCGGGTAAGGCCCGGCCGGGGCGGGGGCCGGGGCCGGGGCCGGCCGCCTCCGGCAGTGCCGGTGCCGAGGGGCTGGGGGTCCCGCCGAGGAGCCAGAGCCGCCTGTGGGATGGGACGGGACGGGATGGGATGGGATGGGTGCCCCGAGCCGGGACCCCGCGGGCGTCGCCGGCCGCCGTGCGGGGCTCGGCGCGGATGTCCTCGCGCTGCCGCCGGCGCTGTCGGCGTGGGCGGCCGCCCCGCTGCCTTCCGGGGCATCCCCGGGCGGGCTCCGCTGCGCTCCCTGGGCGCCGCGGCGGCTCGGGCACCTCGGAGCAGCTCCGGGCGGCTCTGCGCTGCCGGGCATCCCTCCGTGCCGCAGGCTGCAGCGCTGGGAAGGGGCATCTCCTCGCGGGGCAGAGCCGAGGCCTCCGGCCGCGTTTCCGGTGCTGCTGTGGGGAGAGGCGGGCGACGGCCCCTCTTGGCACTGATACCGCTGGCCCTGCCTCCCAGGGGTGCCCGTCCCGCGGCTCCCGCTGCTCCCGGCAGCAGGTTCTGGCACTGGGAGCTGAGCTGTTGGGATGGGGCTGTTGGAAAGCTGGGGTCCCTTTTGCCACGTGCTCCGGCAGCTTGCGGCTGCTGCGGGCCGGGCTCTCCGGGCAGCGTCCTGGCCACGTTGTGGTCCCGCGGGCGGGAGGAAGGTGGGAGCTGCGCAGGCGGCTGCGTCGGGGGCTCCGCTCGGCCCCCAGCGCCTCTCCCCAGGGAGGCGCAAGGCCGGGCCGGAAAACAAGAGCCCGGGCCCGGGCCAGGGGCCAGCCCGCAGCCCTGCTCCCTTGGGATCCGGCGGATCCTGGGAAAGGAGGGCTGTGCATTGGCGGCCGGCAGCACGTGCTCCCACGATTCCCAGGCCTGGACCCTGGCCTGGCTTCCCACAGGCTCCGCGACGCCGATGTCGGAGCAGCCGCAGAGCCCGCAGCACTGCCAGCGCTCCCTCTGCTTCCCGCGCCCGGCCCAGCCTTCCGCGCGGGAGCAGCGGGCGGCACTTCCCGGCCCCGGTCGTTCCCTGGCTCTGCGGGTGTTTTTCTGTTTCCGTTCTGTTTTTCTTTCCGATGCCGTCCCCGCTCCGTTGACATCCTCCCGCTATCGGGGGCGGCAGCGCTGGGTGCGGCGCCCGCCTCGTGTCCTCGGGGCCGCGCGTGGAGGAAGCGGCCCCTTCCTGCAGGGCAGATCGCGTTCCCGGCCGCTGCCGCACAGCTCATGTTCCCGGCGTCCGGCCGGGCACCACTCTGACCCACTTTGGGGCCACTTCCCGAGGAAAAATAATAATAATAATGATAATAATAATAATAATGGTAATGGGCTCAGCCCAAGGCAGCAGGGCAGTGTCCCGGCGGGCTCTGGCCCAAGCCCCCCGCTTGGTGGCCCCCGTGGGGACCACCCCACTGGGGAGCAGCAGAGGGGATGCGCTGGGTGGGGTGGCCATCCTGGCCGCTTGCCGGCCTCGCCATGGGGCTGGCCACGCGCCCGGGCTGCCCGCGGGCCCGCCGGCAACCTGAGCTGCCGCACGCTGGGTTCGCGCGCTGGCCACGGCCCAGGCAGCCGGCGGCGCCCAGGGCGGCTGCCGGTCTCCTGAGCGCGGGAAGGGGCCCGGCGCCAGATCCCGGGTGCCCGTGGGCGAGCCCGGAGCGTTGCCGTGTGCCGGAGCAGCCTGCCAGGGTCGGGTAGCAGCCCCATGGGCGGCATGGGGCGAGCGCGGCACTGGAAGCAGCGCCCGCTCCTGGGGTGGCACGGGCTGCCCCATGGGGTGACACACAGTGCCGCCCCATGGCCCCTCTGCAAGCGGGATGTGGCAGCCGGATAGCACCGCAGAGCCGGCGGCCCAGGAGCTGCAGCCGGCCAGGCCAGTCCCAGCCTGCGGAAAACTGGGATAATTATCCTCTGGCTTGGCGCGGGTCCCCTCGTGTCCCAGGGCGCAGGGCCGCTCCCTGCAGTGCCGCCGCGCTCCCGTCCATCCCTCGGCAGGAGCAGGAAGCCTTCCGGAACGGGAGAGCTTGGAGGGGCTGGCGTGGGGCCATGGCCGGGCTCGCGGGCCCCGCGCGCGGAGCCTGGGAACGCGCGGGGCCCCGGTGCCGCGGGGCCCGGCTTGGCCGCCCGCCAGCCTGCGCGGCCCGCTGCCTCCGTCACGGCCGCCGCGCTGCCAGTCTGGGCTGCCGGGAGGCTCCGTGGGGCCGCGCGGGGCTCCCGCGGGGCAGCCTCCGCGCTCGCTCCGCCGCCGCCTCCATAAACAGGAAATCCGCAAGTGGCTGCGATGGCCTTTTCGGGAGCGGAGCGGCGCGGGGCATTCCTGCTCCTTTACTCACTGCTCTGCAAACCCCAAATACCATCCCCGTGACAGCATGGCCGCTGCAGACGGGCGGCCGGGGAAGGCGCCTCTTCCCTCTGCCGGTGCCCTGGGGAGTGACGGAGGGGCTGGGAGCGTCGAGCCGGGCTGTCCACGGCTGGGACACGCGGCCAGCGGGCGCTTGTGCCTGGGCTGCCCCTTCAGGATGAAGCAGCATCCAAGGAGGTGCTAGGGACGAAAGACGGGATAGCGAAAATCCTGTTGTCCTTGGAAAAGCGCCTTGAACGCGGCGCTATCAGCTGGGTGTCCCTGGACAAACTGCCGGGTCCAGGCGGGTGCAGGGCGAGCGCCGGCGGGAACGTGGGTCGGGAGCGAAGGAGGGTGCGTGACAGCAAAAAGCAGAAGCAATTGCAGAGAAATGCTTTCCATGCCTGTATGTGTGTGCAGCTTGCAATTAGCCTCTGGAACTCGTTAGCGAGAGGAGAGCTCAGCGGGGTCCGAAGGCAGGGCAGGGCGGGTGGCAGCGGCTTCCCAGGGGTCTCGCAGTGCCGCTGGGCACCAGCTTACCCGGCCTGGCTGGCACAGGGTGTCTCGGCGCGCGGTAGCTGCTGCCGTGGGTCGGTGCCCTGCGGCCGGCGTCTCTCGGCCGGTCCCTGCTGCGGCCGGGGCTCACGGCAGCGCTTCTTGCCCGCCAGGCCGAGGCCGAAGTGGCTTCCCTGAACCGCCGCATCCAGCTGGTGGAGGAGGAGCTGGACCGAGCCCAGGAGCGCCTGGCCACCGCCCTGCAGAAGCTGGAGGAGGCCGAGAAGGCGGCGGATGAGAGCGAGAGGTGCGAAGTGGCGAGGGAGGGACGGGTAGGGCGCCCTGGGCTTCACCCTCGGCTTCGCGGTGGGGATTTGGGGGCATCAGGGATTGGGGTGCAACGGGGCACTGCCCATCCCCTGCCCACGGGCACCGCCAGGAGCCCATCAGCCCTGTGCTGCAAGGGCTGAGCTGCGGGAGAGGCTGCAGAGAGTTCTTCTTATGTGACCCTCAGGGGGTCCCGTCAGCCCTCCTGCAGACCCCAAAGAGAGAGAGCGAGGCCCACAGCAAGGTCCCCAAATAAGTGCGTTCTTTGAAACTTCCAGAGCACTCTTGGATTCCTCATATAATATAAAATCCTTATATATATATATAAAAATAACAGGCGGTAGCTAAAGCGAGAGGATGCTCAGACTATGTTTTCTGTCCCAGAGCAGACCCCTGCGCCCAGGGGCTGAGCACCAGTAGAGCTCCTGGCACCCGGGAATTGAGGCTGGCTCTTAGCAGCAGCAGCGACAGGGAACCAGCCTGTTCCCAGCTCCCCACCGAGGCCGTTGCCCCAGCGCGGTGACGGTCCCCCAGTCACACCTCGCAAGGAAAGGCCATGCAGACAGAGGGCACTTAGGTTTTATGGCACTAGCAGCCACTGCCCAGGAGCTCCCGGGGCCTGAAACGTCACCGTGTTCCTGGTGTGACACGTTTCCTCCGTGATCAGCAGCCGCTGAGCTAGTGGAGGAAAGTCTTCTGTGTTGGTCCATCTGGGAAGCGTGGGATGGCCCTAATGCCCATCCACAATGTCCCTCTAGCACTGAGATGGCCACAGGCTGCTTGGAGGCTGCATCGCTTCCTGTTTCTGAGCTTCATCCCTGAAAAAAGCAGCTTTGCTGTGGGAAGTTTCCTCGGGTTTCCCTCATCATGGGCTGGATGACGAGTCAGGGGGGACCCCAGGGCATTCGGGGGGCCACTTTTCAGTCCCCAACATGACCCTGATGCCCAGGGTGGCCAACGAGTGCCCATGTCCCTGGGCGATGCCCCTCATTTCCAGAGGCAGAGGAGGGCGGGTTGAGGCGCGCGTGGCCGGGTCTGTCACAGGAGCTGGGTCACGGCCCGTCACACACAGCAGTAACATCTTCTGTCTTGGACTTTCCTCAGAGGCATGAAGGTCATCGAAAACAGGGCCATGAAGGACGAGGAGAAGATGGAGCTCCAGGAAATGCAGCTGAAAGAGGCGAAGCACATAGCCGAGGAGGCCGACCGCAAATATGAGGAGGTGAGTGACACTCTCCTTGCTGGTAACTCTCCGCTGCCACCACTCGCATCTGCCACCACTGGCACCCCCACGGCACCCCTTTGCCCCGGTGCCGCCTGTCCCCCAGCGGGACCAACCTGCTGCTGCCGCCAACAGGTCGCCCGCAAGCTGGTTGTCCTTGAGGGAGAGCTGGAGCGCTCGGAGGAGCGGGCAGAGGTTGCAGAGAGGTGAGTGGCAGCGCTGGCGGTGGGTCGCTCCCGACGCCCGCAGCTCTGGGCCCGGGTCCCCAGGGATCCCCCGGCTCAGGGATGTCCCTCACCCGGCAAGGTCCCCAGGGATCCCCCGGCTCGGGGATGTCCCTCGCCTGGCAAGGTCCACGCCAGGGCCAGGGGAGGCCCCCAGGGTGGTCACCGGGGAGCGGGGCTGCCCGGAGCACGTTTGACCCTGTTCTCTGCTCGCCCCCCCCGGGGTGCCCCCTCTTCCCACCCCCAGCCGTGTGAGACAGTTGGAAGAAGAGCTGCGGACCATGGACCAGACTCTCAAATCCCTCATGGCCGCAGAGGAAGAGGTACTGCAGCGGCAGGGAAGCGGGGAGCCGCGCGGCAGCCCCTCTCTCTCCATCTCCGTCTCTCGACCCACACGAGCTGCCTCTCTCCTCCGCACACCGCTGCCTCGGCCACCGCCTCCCCTTCCCTTGCCCTGGCCGGGCGGGCAGCCCGCGCCGGAGCCGGGGCCCCGTGGACGGGGCGCGCTGGGCACGCTGCTTGTGGGGGGCACCCCATGCCCAGGAGCTATGGGGAACGGATGCGTCCCAGCAGCTGCCGCTCACGGCCACGGCGCCTCTGCTCCTCTTCCGCCTGCGTTTGCTGTTTTCTTCTCCCCTCTCAACTTGTTCTCTCTCTTTCTTTCCTCCTTCCCCCGCACCTGCTCTGTCGGCTCCTCTCTGTCCTCCGCCTGCCCCTCTCCCCACTCCCTCACCTGGCGGCCCCTGCTTGGGATGTAGTAAATGTGGTGACCTAGAGGAGGAGCTGAAAATTGTCACCAACAACTTGAAGTCCCTGGAGGCCCAAGCCGACAAGGTAGGAGCTGGCTGAGTTGGGGCTGGGAGAGGGGCCAGCCGTGCGGGGGGCCTGGCGGGGGGGCCGGGGTGACGTGCGGCCGCGGCCGTGCTGCCAGCCTCACCGGTGCCCTCTCTCTCCGCAGTATTCCACCAAGGAGGACAAGTACGAGGAGGAAATCAAGCTTCTAGGGGAGAAGCTGAAGGAGGTGAGGAGAGAGGCTGGCGGGCAGGATGCCTTGTGCTCGGCGCTGGGGTGCTCCACGGGGTCTCTCCGCCCTTGGGATGTCTCCCTGTACCCTCTGGGGGGGACAACACTTGTGTCCCAAGGGAAGATCCCCTTGGCAGGAGCGGGCACAGCTCCATTAGGACACCCTTTCCCACCCCGTTGTCCCTGGCCCTGTGCCATGCTCTGCTCCCAATGCTCACCTCAGCTCCCACAGTGCCAGCTCAGCCTTTGCTAAAAACAAAAAAGAGGCACAAGGTGTTGAGAAAGACACAAGATTAATTTATTAATGCTTGATTGATACTGAAAGAAGACTTGGAGGTTACCACAAAGACTGGGAAGGAGGGCTCTGGGCCAGGCAGAGCATTAGCACAGCCTGACCTTCGACTGAGAGGTTCCTTCTTGTTCTCCCTCGCTGTGGCTGCGCTGCATAAATCCCTCTTGCCGCCCTCCTGGAAGTGTCCCTGGTGTCCTGCTCGGGGGACGTGGGCTGGCTGCAGCTCATGCCCCGCACGCTTGTACTTCAAGCCACACTGGGTTGGTGGTGATCCGTGCAGCCTCCGTTGCACACGAGTGGTGAAGCGTGTGGTCTCTGATGGATTCCTCGCTTCCAATCGATCGGGATGAACGGGATGTCCCACAAGAAGGTGCTTTGTCCAGATGCCTCCCGTGAGGAGGGCACTGAAGATGCTGCCCTTCCTGGGCGCAGTCTAAAGCAAAGCAGCGTCACGGCCCGGCTCCCGTGGGCTGCACAGGAGCCTTTCTCATGGGGGCATCGCCAACCCTGCTTCCACTAACTCAAACCAGTCAAAATAAGCTCTTGAGCCCCACTATGGAGGCAAATCCACGTGCTCACCAGCTCCACCAGCGAGCCCAGGGGCGAGCTCATGGAAGGAGATGCAGAGGGGCAGGTTTGGGGCCCGGTGCAGCCCACACCAGCTGAAGACACCTCCGTTGTGCCCCGTGGTTCTGCAACTGTGTCCCCTGTGCCCCTGCAGGCTGAGACCCGAGCAGAGTTTGCCGAGCGGTCTGTGGCGAAGCTGGAGAAAACCATCGATGATTTAGAAGGTAAAACTCCTTCGCTTGTCCCACCTCAATGTCCCGTGGGGAGCACGGGCGGCCTGGGAAGGCCTGGGACGCCCGGCAATGGCCTGGCCAGCGCTGGCATCTGTCCCTGGCTGGAGCGGGATGGGGCATGGCCGGGGTGGCTGCCGTGGGTATGGGGCATGGGGCGCTCACGGGTGCCAGGATGGGGCTGTCGGGGCTGTGATGGGGCTGTGATGGGGCTGTGTGTCGCGTCCCTGCCCTCACGCCCTCACCGCGCACGGCGCCCGCTCCCGCCTCACCGCCGCTCTCTCTCTCGGGGCCACCCGCCCCCCGCACCGCCCCCCGCGCGCCCCCCGCCCGGCCTGCAGACGAGGTGTATGCGCAGAAGATGAAGTACAAAGCCATCAGCGAGGAGCTGGACAATGCGCTTAACGACATCACGTCCCTCTGAGCCCCCGCCGGCCACCCGCACCGCCACCCCCCGCCCGCCACCCCCGGCCCCGCTCGCCTGCCCTGCCTGCCCCCCGCTGCCTCCTGCCCCCCACGCCTGCTCTGCTCCGCACCGCTCCTCTGGGCGCCCTCGGGGGGTCCCGCGCTGCCCCTCTCTGGCGGGACACCAAGGACTGGCTGCTTAGGGGGGTGTGTGGGGACGGGGGGCATCCCGCCCGGCACCCACATGCCCGCGAGCTGCGGGTTTCGGGTGGCCTTCCCGACGTGCCGGTGCTGCCCGTGGCACACAGGGAATAGGGGGTGTCGGCGGCTCTGGGGGCCTCCCCACGGCTGCACCCCCGGCCGTGGGGAGGGAGCGGGGCCGAGCTGGGCTGGGGGACCCCTTTGCTCCAGCACCGTCCTCCCTGGGGAGGAGAGGACCCCCTCCGAGGGATGGAGCGGGCGCCGGGCCACGCGGGCAGCCCTTCCCCAGGCAGGCAGAGAGCCCCCTGCCCCTTCCCTCCGCCTCCCGTCTGTCCTCCGCACATCGCTGTTCACTTGGCATTTCACGACTTTTTGTTTTTCTTTTCTGTTCTGTCCCTCTGCGTTACCGAGTCGGTCTCAATAAAGCGTTTTCTCTCCTTGGTTTCTCCTTTGGTTTCTTCATGCCGCTCTGGTTTCCCGCTCTCCCCGCTCATTTCCCGCCTGTGTCTCGCGGGTGCCGGCAGCCGGGCGCAGGAGGTGGCCGATCGCAGCCCGCGGCGGCCCGCGCGCCGCCTCCGGTGGAGCCCCCCGTGGCCCCCGCACGACGGGGCCCTTTGTGCCCTTGTCCCCGCCACCTCCCCGGCTCCCGGACACCGCTCTCCTCATCTGCTGCCACCTTCCAAGCCCTGGCATCTCTCTCGCATCACTTCCCTGTCGCAAGGGCAGTTCCTGGCCCTAACGGGGCTTCAGTGACTCCTCCAGCTCCCTCCTTGGCCTCGTATCCTGCCCACCATCCCTTCCCCAACCGGATGGACCCACGGTCCCGTCGCTGCCTCCCTGCCGGCCCCGGCTCGCCCGGGCCGTGGCCGCTGCAGGGTCTCCACCGAGGTCTCGCCGGGCGGACTGTCTCTTTTTGCTAACTCTCCTTTCTCTCTCTCTCTCCCTCTGCTGCGCTGACGTCTTCATTTTCTCTAGAGCGCTCGAGGCAGGAGGCCGAGAAAAACCGTGTTCTCACTAACGAGCTGCGGGTCATCCTTACCGAGCTTAACAACTGAGCTGCGCGCGGCGCCCCGGCCGGCTCGGGCCAGGCCGCCCGGGGCTGCGAGCGCTGCCCGCTCCCCGCTGCACCCCACCGAGCAGGGGCAGCCAGGCCCGGGGAGACCCGAGGGCCCCCCGCAGCTCTCCGGTTTTCCCTGGGAGGGGAAGGAGGGAATTCGCAGAGTCCTGGGACCCCCATGGCTGCCCCCTGGCATCAGCTAGGCCCCGCTCGGGAGGGACGTGGTGGTGGCCCCTGCGTTGCTGCCTTCCCCCTGCTCCCAGGGGCATGGCGACCTCTGAGGCGGCCAGTGTCTTCCTCATTACTCCCGAATGGTCCCCTGCGAGCAGGGATTCCCTGTGGGAGGGCTGGCACAGACCAGGCAGGGCCACGCTGCCCCAGGGACCGGGACAGGGCAGTGGGGCAGAGCCTGGCCGGCAGTGCTGGGATGTGGCACTGGGGCAGCCGTGCAGGGCCCGGCCCGCAGAGCCCTGCATCCCATCCCCGTTTCCCGGAGGATGCAGCCGGGAAGGCAGAGCCGGGGCAGGCTCTGGCCTGTGGAGCTCTTCAGTTCTGCTTGTTCTCTGCACTGTCCCTCTGCCCGTCCTCCCGGGCTGCTGTCTCACCCTGTTCTCACCGAGCACTGCTGGCCTTTGGAGCGGGCACTGCTTCTCCTCTTTGGAGCGGGCGCTGCTTCTCCTCTTTCGCTCCCAGGGGCTCACACACACGTCCATAGGCAGCCAGGAGCAGCCCGGGGCAGGATGTTTTGTGGAGAACGGGAGCCACGAGGCCGTGTCGCGCGGCCGGCCGCTGAGCGTGCCCAGGCCTTGGCATGTGTTGGGAGGAGGGAGAAGCCGAAGGGCAGCGTTTGGAGAGCAGGAATCAGTCGTTCTCAGAGACTGGCCCGGGTGGCCTGGCCACCTTGGCGGGTCCTGGAGCGACGGGGCTCATCCCTGCCGGCATGGGGGCTGCTTGCGCAGCCTCGGCTCCGAGGGAGGCCCCGCTCCGTGGGGCGCTGTTTCCCGCTGACGTGTCCCTTCGTGTGCGTGTGTCCGTGCGTGGTGTTGCGTGCGTGGCTCTGTGCCCGGGTGCGCGTGTGCCTGTGCGTGTGGCTGTGCCCCTTGTGTTCACAGAGAGTCTGGCCAGTGCCAAAGAGGAGAACGTTGGCATCCACCAGGTCCTGGACCAGACCTTGTTGGAGCTGAACAACCTCTGAGCTGCCTTGGGGAGCCCCCGTCCCTCTTCCCCGCCCCACACGTGCACCCCACTGGCACGCTCTGGACGTCATCAGCTGAACTGCGTCTTGGCCAAATCCACACATCCATTGAGAAGGGAAACCCTGCAGCCTTACACCGTGGCTTGAGGGTGTCTTGTCTGTGCACAGCCGCAACGGCTCTGTCCTGTCTTCATGTCCAAATATTAAAGCAGTTTGACAAGACGGATGAGAGTGCTGCGTCCTTATGGGTGCGTATGGACACACCAGGAGTGTGTCCACATCCACGTCCTGGACACGTCCGGGAGATGTGGTGGGGTTCCCCTACCTTGCTCGTGCCTGGGAGGCGCTATGGGGCTCGCTATGGGGCAGTGGGTGCATTGCAAGGATGCCCTCCGTGGCTGCGGAGGGCCGGGGGTGATAACGCACAGTCTGGGCTGCCTTCCCCCATCTCCAGCTCTTCCTTGGTGTGTGAGTGGGGAGGAAACGGGAGGGAACTCAACGACTGAACTGACCTCCCCAACCAGCTGTGCATGGATAGCAACAGGCCACCAGTGTGTCCCCATCACAACATGAGCCGTGCAGCACTGGGGGGGCCTCGCGGCGTTCACCCCCATTCCATGCAGGGCCTTGCACGGTTCATGCCAACGACAACAAGCGTGTGTCCACACGTGCACACACTGCTGCCGGGCACCTCCCGGCCAGCCGCTTACCCCGCGTACGGGCTGTACTTCCCATGAGCGGGCCCCAGCACCCGCCCAGGGACAGCGGTCTAATCTCGACCGGCACATACCACTACAATAGGCACTGGATTCCTGAGGCGCTCAGGAAGTTCCCTCCTGGCTTGTTCCTTTTTCCCTTGGCCAAAGCGAAGAGGAGCGGGATGCGCCTCCTCCCTCGCTGACACCGAAGGGGAGAGCGCTCCCCTGCAGAGCCAGAGCCACGGTCTAGTCCTGGCCCTGCTCGGGCTCTCTCCATGAGTCGCACGGAGCCCTGCAGCCCCACGCCAGCAGGCGGATATCCCTCCAAAAGCAGAGCCTCCCGCAGCCAGGAAACACAAGCCACGCTGGCCCCTCAACCAGGCTGTCACCCGACAGGCCGGGATCAATCCCGTTATCTGCTGTGCTCTGCTGGCTGTGCGCAGGAAAGGAGGGCACGAGCGCATCCCCTTCCTGCCAGGTGCTGCCGGCACCGCCGCGCTCGCAGCTCGGGAGGCCTCGCCGCTGGCTGCCCTCACACGGGGCGCTCGCCCGGGCGCTGTCACTGCCCCACGGTGCTCTGTCACTGCCCCACTGCGCGCTGTCACTGCCCCACTGAGCGCTGTCTCTGCCCCATCTCTCTCCTCCTGCCCGGGGTGCGCCCGCCCTGCAAACAGCCGCTCGCCAGCGCCTATGGGTGCCAGCGCGGGGCCTCATGGCACCCGTTGCTCTACGGCCAAACTCTGCCACGAGCCCCCGTGTCTCCGCTGGCCGCTCCGGCCTCTCGGTTCCCATGCACACCCTGCACGAAGTGGCTCCGCCTGGCTGCAGGATCCTGGCTGCAGGATCCAGCTCCGCTGGCTGCAGGATCCCGGCTCCGCCTGGCTGCAGGATCCTGGCTCTGCCTGGCTGCAGGATCCCGGCTGCAGGATTTTTCGTCTCTGGCTGCAGGATCCCGGCTCCGCCTGGCTGCAGGATCCTGGCTCTGCCTGGCTGCAGGATCCTGGCTGCAGGATCCAGCTCCGCTGGCTGCAGGATCCGGCTCCACGCCGGGCGCCGCGGTCCCGCCCGCCCACCCGCCCTTTGGTCCCTTTGGGTGCGGGAGCCCCGGGGCTCCCGCCCCGCCCGGCGCCTCCCGCCGCGCCGTCCCCTGCCCCCTGCGCGGGGGGGCCTCTTCCCCGCACCCCTTGGCTCCGCTCCGGCCCCGCAGCTGCCCGCGCAGCCCCAGCGCGGCCCCAGTCCCCACTCTGGGGCTTTTTGCCCCAAATCCAGGTTGCACCGATCGTGTCCCCCCCGCCCCCGACGGCTCCGCTTCCCCCCGTCAGACGGGCGCGGGGCGCGGCTCCCGGGCCCGCCCCACCCCGCCCTGGCCACGCCCCTCCCTGGCTTGGCCACGCCTCTCCCGCAGTGGCTCCGCCCCTCCCCGGTGGCTCCGCCCCCATAGCGATACCCCCTGTCGTGGCCCCGCCCCTCACCGCCGTGGCCCCGCCCCCCGCGGCCCTTCCGCCGGCGGCGGCGCGGTGACGTCACGGCGACCCGGAAGCGCGGCGGGCGCGGCGCGGGCCGGGCGGAGCGGTTCGGTGCCGTGCGGTCCGTTCCGGCGCCGTGCGGTCCGTTCCGGCGCGTTCCGGCGCGTTCCGGCGCGCGGCGGCCCGCGGCGGCGGCGCCATGACGCTCGCCGTGTTCTTCGGGTGCACCTTCATCGCCTTCGGGCCCGCGCTCGGCCTCTTCCTCTTCACCATCGCCCGCGACCCGCTGCGCATCATCATCCTCATCGCCGGGTCAGTCCCGCCCCGCACGGGGCCGCGCCGCCCGCCGCCGCCACCGGCCCGGCCGTGGCAGGGGCTCCGGTAC